TCTTTCCCTTTCCTTTGTCCTTCCCGCCATTGTCCTTTAGTTTTGCTGTAGGTTTTTCTGATGTTTTACCAGTTATGCTGATGGTACTGGTACTGGCGGGTGCTGGTGCTGGTGCTAGTGATGCAGGGTGCTGGTGCTGGTGCTGATGCGGATGCGGATGCTAGTGCTAGTGATGCAGGGTGTTGGTGCTGATGCTGATGCTGATGCTGAAGGGTGCTGTTGCTGGGCCTGGTTTCAGTAGCTTGTCATCCTTATCTGGAGGAACCAGTGCTCTCCTTCTGAGCTTCTTGCCTTTGAAGTGTTTTCCTTGAAAACATACATTGATAAAAGCCAAGGATGTGGACATCGGGACCTAAGAAAACAAAAGCGTCCTCATTACATTGGCTTTTCATCCAGAAAGGTGTCTGTTTTCCTCCTGATCTCTCTCTCATCAGAGATACACACAGTGCACTCCCAACCCCTCAAACTTCCAGACCCCAGACTGTGTCTCCTTCTTGGTTTGGCATCCTTCATGCTCATTGCCCCATCATCTTATCTTTCTCTTGACAACTAGTAGCTACACGAAGGAAGTAAGTCACTCAGGCGTCCTCCCTGGATGTCACCTCTATTTAAGTGACTTCTTCACCAGAAATATATTTAGCTACTTTACTTCTGAACTTAAACTGGAGGGCGTGGGCCACTTCTTCTGCAAATTGGCCAAGGAAAAGGGCAAGGACACAAGCACCTGCTCAAGTTGCAGAACCAGCGCCTCAGTCATACGTTCTTCCGAGATGTGCAGAAACCAGCAAAGGATGAGTGGGGTAAAACCCAGGAGACCGTGGAAGCCGCCTTGGCCCTGGAGAAGAGCCTGAAGCCAGGCCCTCTTGGATCTTCATGCCCTGCGTTCTGCCCGCACAGACCGCCATCTCTGTGACTTCCAGGAGAATCTCTTCCTGGATGAGAAGGTGAAGGTGAAGCTCAAGCTCATCAAGAAGATGGGAGACCACGTGACCATCCTCCCCAGGCTGGCTGGGCCCAGCTGGTCACAGGCTGGCTTGCCTCAGCCATCACTGGGCCAGTGTCTGAGTGCCTCACCCTCAAGCAGGACTAGGTCTCCATGCCTTCCAGGGGGCTCCCGCCTCTGCCCTGCATCAGCTGGCCTCCAGACCTCTACCTGAACCTCTCCAGCCAGTAGGCAGCTTTGAAATGCCCCAGAGCCCCTCCTAAGCCTTGGACCACCTGAATACAAAGCTTTTTTGAAAAAAAAAATGAAGAATAGATGTCTTACCTTGAATTGTTTCTGTCCATGCCAGCTATGGTTTTCTTCATTTTGGATGGTTTGGGAAACCAATCAGGAGCTCTTACAGGAGAAAAAACAATACATAAGCCAAACAGCAGTGAAAACCCCAGAAAACGCATGACTAGATGAGTGGCATTTAAATTCTGGTTTTATCCCAAAATGCTTTCTACACTTACATTTTGGAGCGGGGCTGCAGGGTTCATCAACGCTGGTGTGCTGGGAGTGAAGTTGGTGGGTGATGAACTACAGTCCCCTGAGCCCATTGCTGGGCTGAGGATCAACCCAGAAAGTGGGTGGGGCAATGGGGGGAGCACATTGGCGCTTCCCATAGACCAGTTCTCTGCCATTAGGTCTGCCAAGGTCAGCAGGTGACGTCGTACCTGCAAATCCCAGTTGGGTTTTGCTGCCACTAGCAGGTTGGCCTGTTGGTACAGTTAGGCCAGCTGTGGCTGCTGAGGACAATGGATTCCTCAGAATGACACGGCCAGCAGGCTGCTGCTTCCTGTTCAGTAATGCACAGGTGGGCTGAGAGGGAGCCCCGGTATGGTTGAAAGCTGCGGTAGACCCCCAAACTGCCTGTGCCAGCAACCTGGTGGAAACAAGTTCAGAGGCACGTCGAGAGTGCAAGAGGACAGCCTGAGAAGGTGGGGGGGTGTCCATGGACTCAAAATCCATGGGAGGATGAGATGGTGTTATTGCCACCATGGAGGGCAGTGCTGGCACCAGGCCAGGGTCAACCCTCAGACCAGAAGCACTGGCAGAAGACATGCTCTGCCTCTGCCCATCGGTGGTCCCGGGTGTGCGCAGATTGTTCCCAAAATGGTTGGGGCAGGGGACCGTGAGTGCAGGAGTGCCAGTGGGCACTGTGGCACAGCCATGCCCAAACACAAAGGGCATAGAGCTTCCTGGAGGTGATCTGAGAATAACTGCCTCCGAAGGGGGCGTGGTATCCATGTCCATCACTGCAGGCTCCGGAGATGGCTCCCAGCTCATGTCTTCACAGATAGGGGCTTCTGTGGTAGAAGAGACTGTGGGGGCGAGAGCAGCAGTGGTAAAAGCGAGAGAAGGGGGATCGATGCACATTGGGGTTGGGGATTCCGAATCCCAGTTGGGTTTTGCTGCCACTAGCAGGTTGGCCTGTTGGTACAGTTAGGCCAGCTGTGGCTGCTGAGGACAATGGATTCCTCAGAATGACACGGCCAGCAGGCTGCTGCTTCCTGTTCAGTAATGCACAGGTGGGCTGAGAGGGAGCCCCGGTATGGTTGAAAGCTGCGGTAGACCCCCAAACTGCCTGTGCCAGCAACCTGGTGGAAACAAGTTCAGAGGCACGTCGAGAGTGCAAGAGGACAGCCTGCGAAGGTGGCGTGGTGTCGATGGACTCAAAATCCATGGGAGGATGAGATGGTGTTATTGCCACCATGGAGGGCAGTGCTGGCACCAGGCCAGGGTCAACCCTCAGACCAGAAGCACTGGCAGAAGACATGCTCTGCCTCTGCCCATCGGTGGTCCCGGGTGTGCGCAGATTGTTCCCAAAAGGGTTGGGGCAGGGGACCGTGAGTGCAGGAGTGCCAGTGGGCACTGTGGCACAGCTGTGGCCAAACGCAAAGGGCATTGAGCTTTCTGGAGGTGATCTGAGAATAACTGCCTCCGAAGGGGGCGTGGTATCCATGTCCATCACTGCAGGCTCCGAAGATGGCTCCCAGCTCATGTCTTCACAGACATGGGCTTCTGTGGTAGAAGAGACTGTGGGAGCATTCCTGGGGGTAGGGGCTATGGCAGCAGTGGGAAAAGGCAGAGAAGGGGGATCGATGCACATTGGGGTTGGGGATTCAGTCTTGCTGGAGAGAGCCAGAAGGGAAAGTCGAAGGAGAAATGGGGACTGTGGGTGCACTAGGTGTTAGGGAAGGCAGAGGCACACACAGAATTGGAGAGGGTGCCTTCTGTAGGACGGTTAGGACTGCCGATGGTAAGGCCATGGGATATCTTCCTGGGAGACTTCTGAGGATGTCCATTTCCTTCTTGAGGCCCATAAGGTGGCCTCACGGAACCCATGTTCACTTTGGCCCCCAAGGTCATTGATGTTTGCACATGGCTGCTGAATGTGCTCCTTTTCTTCTCCTCTTGACCTTCTGTCCCCATCGGCCGCCTCCGGTCCTTGTCCTCCTCCTCCTCCTCCTCCTCCTCCTCTTCTTCCTGCTCCTCTTCCTCCTCCTCCTCATCTTCTGTCTCTGCCTCCTCCTCCTCCTCCTCCTCCTCCTCCTCCTCCTCTACCTTCTCTTCCTTCTCCTTCCTCCCATCTTTTAACTTTTCTTCAGCCCTGACTTCTGTTGTCTTTGGAAAAGGAAGAGGAAGGTGACCAAATGTCAAGGGCTGTAGAGCCGGAACCATCCGCACTGGTGGGCTAGTAGCGAGAGTGGTCTTGTGCCCTGAAAGAGGGACCTCCGTGGTTCTTAAAGGCTGGAACATCCCAAAGATATATTGCCTCCTGGGGCTGCTGCAGAGGCCAGGCGGCCACAGGAACAATGCGGGTCCAGTCTCTATACAGATGGGTTTCCCCTGGCAGGAGCAACCCGGCAAGGCCAGCCAGGCAGGGGCAGCTGACAGGCCATAAGATATGGGGGAGGATAATCGGGATGGAGCTGGAGGCTAGGCAGGCAGCCACGACGTGGCCCTGAAAACGTCCTCGTTTAGGGCGAGGGCGATTACTGAGCAAATTGGGGATGGGGAGAACAGCGAAAGGACAAATGAGTAGTTTGCAGCTACTCTGTATCCAGGCAAGCCCTGGTTATTGTGACATCATGCTGGAACTTGTGATGTATGGGTCCCGTGCGTTTGAGGGGGGGGGTGGCTCAGCCCCAACTGTCCTCCAACTCACTATATAGACCAGGCTGGCCTTGAACTCACAAAATCCGCGTGCCTCTGCCTCCCGAGTGCTGGGATTAAAGGCGAGCGCCACCACGCCCGGCTTTTTTTGGTTTATTTTTAAATAGAAAAGTTGAGCTGGTGCTAGCACAGTATAGTTTCATTTTCGGTTTTCTCTAAGATGCTAAGAATCAATAGGAAGACGATAGAAACCTTAATAGGCCAGAGCTAGAGGTAGAGGGTGTGCGGGTCAGTGGAATGTGCCTTTGAAGGAACGGTGGAAACTCTGAACGTCTTTATCTCCTTTTCACTCTCATCCTCTCGTGCTAAGCATGAACTCTAACACTGATCTGCCTGCCCGTCTCCATGGATTTTATTTTATTTATTTTGTGAGGTAGGAAAGGTCTATCTCAACTCACAGTTTCAGAGGGACTTGTCCAAGGGTGACTGGAACCGTTACTTTGGGCCAGAGGCAGAACACCATGGCACAGAAGGCCCGGTGGAGCCGAGCTCTTTCCCTCATGGCATGAAATCTACTGTACTGTTTAACCGAAAGAAATGTAACTGTTGGGGAGAGAAAGTTCCTTCTGAGTTGTCTAATCTGCGTTATACAGATTAGGATAGGTAGATATGGTTCATGATTTGGCAAATTGCACAGTATAGTGGGGGGAAGAGGCAATTGCAATAATCTATACGGAGGTATAAACACCTCTGAGAAACTGTGTAAGAAACACCTCTAAGAAACTGTCAAAAATCTCCTTGCTCTTTTTTCTGTCCTCTAAGGCTACAGGTAAAATGTGACTATAACCCAGCAGGCTGAAT